AAAAAAAAAAAAAAAAAAAATAACACCCTTCGGAAATTTTGCCACTCTCGGCGAAATTATCCGCCATGATAAGCTCCCCAACCTCCACAAGGCACAGGGGTCAAGTTCGGCCTGAATTATTTCCCCTGAGTCTTGGAGGCAAGATTCGAGTGTATCCACCACTCCACGACTCGGGCAATTATTACGGATCCGGCAAACCTCCGTAGCGTCATTGAGGATGCGGGGGTCCAATTCGGTAATGTTTGGCCGACACGACCCTGCTGCAGTGATTAATCGACCCTTTGCACCTGTATATCGTGTAGAGTGTAAGTATTCCGCAGGAAATAGTGGGATATATGTGCAAGTGCAGCAGAATATCATGTCTGCTTTGGTGACACTGTTCATCAGATCTCACCCATAGCCTTTAAATCCAGGGCTAACGCTTGAAAATTTGACATCAGGTCACCATTGCATCTGAGAGAGCAAGTATATGTCTCCTAAAATCTTGCTAGTACGATGAAATAAACGGTTGCATATGTCGACGTTCTTGAGTTGGGATCCACGGAGAAGCAATGCAAGACATATCACTACGCCAAAAAGCAAGTCGACCAGCCCTCAAAATGGTAATATTTTCGAACTTTTGCCGCCTTCCAAAAAGGAACAATGAGCACAAGGCTGCCCTAGACGGAACAAAATCTTCAATACTTATGAGGGCTGTTGGCATCCAAGGTGCGTTTGGTAATGTGAGATATCCGGATCTGGAGCCTTGAGCACTCTCGATCCGGGGGGTAGGTCCGTGATTGGTGTTTAAAGAAAGGGCACCTTTTATCTCCCTTGGAGACTGTGCAATTGAGAAACTTGTTGGTCCAGATAATGTGGGTGTAATCGAGTTTTGGTAGCTTCTTGAATTCGAGGCCCTGGGGAAAGAGAGGGAGACAGGTCAGCTTCTGCTTCTCATCCCTCGGTCCTCAGGGACATTCAACATCTCGAACCTCGTGGCTTCTCCAAACACTAGGGCACCAAAACCGAGTCAAGTCCACCTTGCTTTTGAATAATAAGAGTTTGCCGCTGTACCTCACGGCCCGACTCACCGGCGTGGGTACAGCATCCTAGTTACCGAAACATTCGCGTAACATATCAAGATAGCTTGCTGGATATCTCCCGCTACCGGCTAGTTAACTAGTTATGGTGACTAAGTAGGTTCAAGGGCATTCGAACCGTGGTTCGAAGGAGTCTCCTAGGCTCCTTTATCCGTGGAGAAGTTCCAGGCTCGCTTCCATATTGGAGACCCATCCTTTGTGCGACATCTTCAGTCGCTTCCGCCGGCCGCTGGTTATGCTGGAACTCGCGCGATTTCCACAAAGCTTGTTAGCGACCTGACACGTTCACATGGAGGAGAGACCCGAGAGCAATGAAGTGCTGTAACTTCCGATGTGGATAGTCTCCGCGGGAGCTGTGCTGCACGATGGTTGACGCGTTGGTTTGCGCCTCCGCCTCGCCCTAATCCCGATCCGGCATCTCGTCGTATTCCTCGCGCGCTTGGGAGGGACAAAGCCCATGCCAAGACCGCGCTAAGCTTAAATGGTTGTTGAGCCCCATCATGCTGGCCCCGCGGCTGTTCCTTGAAGTGGAGGCCGGCCAGAGAAGAGACAAGCAAGCGCTGGAGATAAATTCTCATATAAAAAAAGAGGAGAACTGCTCCAGCCAGGCCAGGCCGTTGACTTTTTCTGGAAAATGTCAACCAGCTTATTACCGGGCCTCTTCGCCCGCTTCCCATCTCTCGTTTTTTTGTTCACATTTTGTTAAATTTCTTCACTACCCAGCAACTGCCGAACAAGCAGCCATCATGTCCTGGCCGTTATCTCCCTCGACGTCAACGTCTTCCCCCCTGACTTCTCTGCCATCATCTCCCTCTTCGCGCATATTTCACATATACAATTCATTTCCGGTACATTATAAGATATCAGATCCGCAGAAACGGCCTCTATACCATGTCGACAACTCGTACTTCACTCCTGGGACGCCTGACCTAAGTCTCTACCGAGGTGAGGATAAAAAGGGACACTTGGCTGCTGTTTGCAAATTTGTCTTATTCTCGACATGCTCGAAGATTGGATTGATGCCTAAACCGCAAAAGAGCTATCGTGACCGTCTTAACAACGATATATTCGAGATCGGCCATGTTAGCACGAATGCTGAAGATATGACTTGGGAAGACCTGACAAGGGAAAGCCGCGACCATTCAACGTATAGATTTGAGATGGAGCTTCTAGTTCAAAGTATGAAGCGAGGGCCGGAACTTGGACGTTGTGCCTTTGTCTAGAAGAGGACTCATTCTATGGGAGTGGAATCTTCGAAACCTTCCAAGCTAAGTGCGTGCAATTATAAGCTTGTTGACGAGGAAAGTGGAAAAATCATGGCTGTTATTGCCAATAACGGATTGAAAAGCATGAATAAGAAGGGAAAGATTGAATTGTTTGACACAGCAGAGTATGTATTTGCAGGGGAACAGCTGGATATCATGATTTTGATGACCGGGATCGCCCTTTTAGAAAAGGAGAGGAGACGGAGAGCACAGCGCAGATACGATTATTATTGAGCTGATAACTAGTCACCTTGGCTGACCAGGGTACGGGGGCCGTTTACCCGCATATGATACCCGCTAAAAGGACAATTGCTGCATGTTTTACGAATTTTTGAGCAAAGCGTCATTGAATGATGCTATTCTTGAGTATATTCCGAGGTTTGACAGGCTCGACTTCGATAGGCTCTATTTGATTCTAGGGGTTAGTTAACTACTTATGTCCAATCACTGAAGAGCACCCCATGGATGCTCGCTTAACTATCCTACGAACTCCAAGCCATCCTTAATCTACCTAAACAAGCTCTATCTTGAAGAAACCCCTGTCCTTTGTAATATACACTGGAAAGAGAAATAGAAGAGAGGTGTATATGCAAAGCACTTGATTGACAGAACCGGTAAAATTGGAATTGTCTCCAAGTCGAGGTGCGTGTGATTAACGAAATGGCATTGCTTTCTTTCGCGGGATAACTGGCTGATTCTTTGACCTAGTTCTCGTCAATTGACACCCCATCTCTAAGGTGTGCAAAGTACGCCCCCGGCAGCAGGGATATCGGGTAATCGGCAGGATCAGGGTCAGAACCTAGTGTGGTGGCCTACTCACTTCAGAATGGCATGACCAACCGTTGTCAAACATACACTCCCATACAGACCTGTTAAACCCGCCCCAGCGCAAATATCCAGATATGATTCACCGCTGGGACACGTCGACTTAACTAGCTCCAGCCCTTGATGGGAGAGCTTGCTGGTGTAACGCCCAACAAACTAGTTACCTAACTAGTTAGTTAACTACTCGCCACACCAGCACTAGTTAAAGCGGTCCTTTGCTGCAAACAGGGAGAGTCGTGGGCGCTATACCCGTAGGCACTCGATTGTGATTATCAGCCCTGTGTGCAGATAGCCTCAGGTGTCTGCGTGGATGTTGAGTGACGCTGGGGGTACGGCTATCGCCATGCAGGCACGAGGGCGAGAAGGCCAGGAAGACTGCCATCGTTTTTGCCTCAAATTCGTTGACTATGGTCAGCAGGAAAGAAGCATGCGGTCTCAAACGGCTGCAAGTATTTGAATATCACCTCATACATCGATTGAAAGCATCTAGGCTTACAATAGGTTATATATTTAGGGTGCAACCGGTCGGTAAAGTGTGGTTCTATGCATTCGTCCTGTATCGAAGGCGTTTCGTCACCTTTGGGGGCTAAAAGTCTGGCATCTCCAGATACCAATCCCTCCTTGTCTTTTCACGTACCGGTTTACATGGGCTCCTTTCAGCGGCAGGAATCAACCCATACTTGCTGTATTAACTATCTAACCAGATGGGAATTGCAAAAGTGTAAAAAATGGGGAGTGGAAGGACCATAAATTGGGAATGTGGCTTCTGCAAAGGCTTCTGCATGCAAATATTTCTCGTTCCTTCACTCAATTACCAAGAGGACTGATTTTCTCCCATACAAATAAGCCATGAATGTTGATCATGACTACGTGGTTAAGTCCTTAAAATATAGAACAAGATAAATCACACTGGCGTGCTGAGCAGAGTTAGCAGTACTTATACCCGGCTAGGTGGCCAAGTTGATATGCCAAATAATGGCTTCAACCACCCTATTCACAACCATTTCCATCATTTCTTTGCCTGGAGGCATCTGGCAACTGGCTGAAAGTCCAATTGAGCCTGATTTTCCTTTATATCAAAATGACAATTGACTATACCTCGAAGGGAGATATCCCGCATACCAGCTATTATGACTCTGTTTACATGGCAAAGGCTCTCGATTCAGCATTGGACATGGAGTTCGAGGGATTCGATGATGGAAAACTGTACTGGGACATGTTCCTGAAACTCGACCGAACCCAGCAATCTCCTACGGATCCCACTATCGTCTTGGACGTTGGAGCAGGCTCGGGCCGTATTTTCCGCAAAATGGCGTTAAAAGCAGCCAAATCAGGCGAAGACCTGAGTGATGTCAGATTTATTGGGCTCGACAAGTCTTCTTCCATGGTTGAGCGAGCAAAAAGCAGAGCTTCTGAGCTTTCTGACGTTGGCAGTGTCACTTGGATTGTGGGCGATGCGAGCGACATGCTCGCTCAGCCAGACCTTTCCCAACTCAGAGGGCAATTGAGCTTTGTTCTCTGTGCAGATGGGGGGATCGGTTATATTGAGGGTGAGGCGAACATACATGCCTTTTTCTACCATATCGCCAAGTTATTACGCCCCGGGAGCGGTAGAGCTTGTATCTCTCTTCTCGAATTCCAGGTAGCTGGAGCATACAAAGATGGTGTGGTTCCAAGCACTTACGATGAATCTACGGAATCCATGGACGAATATAGCAAGGGTTCCTCGTTGTCCTTCAAACCTATCTTCCACCGCGAGTACGTTGAGGATGGTCACCATGTGGGACGGCTCGATACAGAAATATCAAAGGTAGATAAGGAGGGCAACAAGACAATCCTTGAGATCTGCCATTATACCCACAGATTTCGCATCTGGAGCATTGAGGACATGATTCAGACGGCGGAAAAGGCAGGGCTAAAGCATGTTGAGACTATCGACTGGCAACGGATGCAGCATTTTGTGTTCATGGTACCTGAGGCGAACTAGCAATCGCCCTGGGACGTTCAACATGTAGATATATGGCAAGCAGCTCTGTATCTAGGTTATTTTTATGCGAGCTTCAACGTAACTAGTTAGATGCACAATTATAGGAATTACACTTTCGGTAAGGAATTCCAAATATAGCTATTCTGTGGTGAAAATAAATAAATAATAGATAAATAAATGAATAGTGATTAGATTATATAGACAACCCTTACACTGGGAAGATGAAACGGAGAGAAAGAAATGAAACAAAGGAAAGAATCATAAGCGTTTAATCTATGACCACATATCTTCGTCACTCTTAACTAGGTCCTCTTCCATCAAGACTCTAGGCCCGTCCCGTTTCTGTCTTTGCTTCCGCTCCTGGCGGGTGACAACATGGCTGGGTGTTAGGGGGGTAATGGGGGTAAAGGGCATATATGGGCTGTAAGGCGTTCGAGGAACGCCGGTTCGTGGTCCATGCAAAAGACTCGTCCTTCGCTCAACGATGGTGGTCTTGGTGGATGGTGCGCTCATGGGGCTATCGTAAGCAACGCGGAACGGCAGTGGAGGTGTGCTGTGAGCTGTATTGATGTTCAATGATGGAGGAGTAGGGCGGAATTTGCGGCTATCTAGTGACTCTTTGCTGGGAGGAGAAGTGAGGAATGATGGGGGAGGTGCCGTGCTGGGCTGAGGAGAGTTCAATTTTGCCTGTTCATGGGGAGTCAAGGGAGGAGGTCCTGGATTATAAGTGCGAGGTGAGAGAGGTTGTCTATCAGGGTAGTCCCGAGAGTTCAGTTCGGGTGAGCCCATGGGGGATGAAATATGAAGTCCCCGTATAGAGCTGCGGCCAAGCAGCTTCTTTGGCGAAGATGTGGAGTTCTTAGATCGGGAACTGAGGAAAGGAAGCTGCGAGAGTCTCGAGAACCTCTCGGTTCGTGGCGAGATAGGCGATTCTTTGGATGCTGGGTCTTCCTGGAAGGGATGACTTGAGTGATGCTGTGGTTCAAACTCGGTCACTGTTGGTAGATGGCACGCTGAGAGGGGTGAAGATGGGGATACGGGGGAGAGCGGTTGTTGTTGGCGCCTTAGATGTCGGAACTCTGGAGGTCCCTCTGGCGGATTCAAGCGCACAGGCGACTTCAAAGGCGAAGGAGGCGACCCCCTAGTAGTAGCCGTCTCTTGAGACATGGCAGATTTCCTTGCATCATGCTCCATCACAGCAGCGTAGAGTCTTTCCATCTCTTCTTGCGCTTTCACCCGGTCGGCCTGGACAACGCTTTCGTCAACTGTTGAGACGCTTCCAGCTATCGACGCTGCCGATTGTGCTCGATTTGAAGAAGACCATGGCATATTGAAGGATCGAGCTTTGTTTTTGGGCGGACTCGGCCAGGCATTATTACTCTGGGTCCTGGTGCTCATTGGGCTCGGCCACAGATTGTTGGTAGAGTACTCCACCGGAGCTGGCGAGTCTTCCATCATTCCACCAGATGGTTTGACGAGGTCCATCTCCAGCGTTCCGTTAGACTCTTCTGCACCACGACGGAGTCGTCTGCCAACTGTCAATAGGCAGCCTAGTAAGAGAGACACGACGGCGATGTAAGCGGCGACTATGGCAACAATCTCCCTCCAAAGCAACGCAGTATCTCTTGTAGCAGACGCAGATATTGGCGGTCCTTCGTCTGGGGGCGGCGCAGGGTCAATCCAGATGCTGGCGCCCCAAATAGAAGCAGCTCTGATGGGAATGGGCTGCAGGCAGATGATTAAAGAGAAACCGCAGGCTGTCAACGTCGACATATAAGCAGGACACCGAGTACCCAACATCCTGCGGCGGGAATCTTGGGCATATCTAGTAGGTATCTCTCTGCCCTTTCACCCTTTTTCTTCTTTTACTCTGAAGATGGTTCCCTTATTTTCGAGATATTTGAACCTGCAGTGGGCGGGGTGATCGGCAATGCTGCGATACAAGAGGCGCCCATTGCAGCGAAGAAGAAGAGAGAGCAGGGCCCTCGTCCGTCCTGTGTGGAGCAGGGCAGATGTGATGATAAAGCCCGAGAGGCGCCTCCAGCTCTGCCAGTTGGATGCATCGATCATGCAGGCCGCTGGGATTGACCGTGACGAAGTGCCAGGATTGCGCCCAATGGGATCGATGCATCGCCATTCTTCGCAGGGACGGGATCTTTCTTCAACGGGCCTGGTTGGCCGGGCCCCCGTTTAGCCATGCAAGCTGCAGGGCCAGCAGCCACCCGTCACACTGAGATAGCGCCCATCACATTTTCGGTTTCTTCATGCGCTTTCGTACAAGGCAGGCAGCAAATCACAATCCAGCGTTTACGGAGTTGTCCTGTAAAGTCCACGGCTGGTAAGGCCACGGTTTGGATGTACTCGAAGCGAGATTATTGATGGATGGTGGAAAGGAAACGCCCGGAGGCTTCATCCTTGCTCCTTTCGCACTCTATGTACGGAGTGTTCTCTGTATATTCTCTGTGATCCGAGTGTGAAGTCGATAGTTATCGATGCTGTCGTTGACGTTGATCTCGCCGTCGCTTCTTTTGGTTTTAATTGCCAAGTTGGCTCTAATATTTGCTTCTGATGACTCGCCTTTGCCTGACGGAGCCGTGGAAAGGCAGCATTACACAGACACTGGTCATGTCTCGCAGTGTTAAGCACTATTGATATCCCCCTGATCAAATGGCTAAAAGGGAACTGGAGAAGCGGTGCTCCCTGTGACCACTTATCAAAACAGCTGTTAAGCATAAACCAGGAAAAGCCCCCGCCATATCAGCTTGACTCTGGTAGCTCAATGTTACAGTTCATGGTAGAACTATGCTACCTCGAACCATGGATGGAGGCGAGTTTAAGTGACTGTGACGTTGTTTTTGTCGAGGTTGCGACTTCCAGGCGGGAGAGAGGGCGAAATTTGATATCTCGCCGTGCCGAAGTAGCAAACAACTACACGGCATGACGCAGACAGAGCCAGGGCTGCTGAAAGACTCCGTCAATCTCTCGCGGCAGCACTCTTAGCCAGGGAAAAAGAGTCGGAAGAAGTCGAAAGGAGTCGAAATAGTCCTCTATGGGCAACAAAATATCTGCTGTTAGTGGTGTCAAGTCGCCCAACTTCTACGAGCCGGGCAACGCTGTCAACGAGATCTGGGTCGGCAACCTCGAGATAATCTCCCGGCTCCCCTTTGGAGACTCAGACATGGCCCAGGCAGGCTGGCCGAAAAACGACTACCCCAAATTCCCCTGGCGGCCGTTTGTTATACCTCTCTTTGCCATGTTCACCAACGGCGCTGTTGGCGCAGAGACCGCGGCAGGCACTGCAGCGCGTTCACACCTATCCCGACGCTCTACACCACAAGAGCCGATGACAAAAACAGCGGCGGCGGAGATGACCATGCTTTCTAGTTCTATTGTCTCGGGCACTATCACTGTGTATGCCGTGGTTACGATCCTACTGGCTTGCGTCCCCAAGATTTTCGACCTTCTCGACACTGTTTACTTCAAATGTCGGCGCAGTGCCAGAGATTCGCTGGAAACGAGCGCCGAATGCCTACACCAGCTCTGTCTTCTGGGAATATACAGCAAGCCTTATCTTATATTCAGCTACATGTTCCATGCGGGCATATTCTCACCTGGGAAACCACATACCATGAATATGCTCTTTGCACCGGCTGAAACCCTTTCCTACCTAGTCGTGATCCAGCTGTTGAGTACGATATTCGCAGCCATCACATGCTACAGCAACATTTATCGATACTGTAGAGAGTCCCGTCCTAAACAGGCCGACGAGATGGCACTCTGGCAGGAAAAGAGCTTGGAGGTAGAAGGGAGTCTAGAGGATGGAAGGGAGAAGTCTCGCCCGGAAGCATTTGGGCCGTGGGTTTTTATAGTCAACCTCTGTGCCTTTTTTGAAGCCATAACCACAGTGCTGCTGCTTATTAATTTGTCCAGGATCGATTAGTTGTCCGTATCTTGGAGATGGTGGCCTGAATATACAAGAAGCTACCCAGCTTGTGTCTGAAGGGGCACAGACAGTGTCGAATGATTGAGGATCACACCCTTAGGAATAATATCTCTATTATCAATTGTTCAATTCCATAGGTCCCGCCACATTTGCTTGAATCCATAACCCTTTGAACTGTCCTCATCGTAAATACGAGATTCATGGGCAGATGCAGAAAACGAAGAAAAGCCTCCTAGTCCGGTTTGATGACTAGCGGAAGACCCCGGCTTCGTTGATCCTCTGATTGCTCGCTCTCTTATCTCATCGGGAAGACTGATGGCGACATCAGCGTAACAAGAATCCAGCTCTCGCTGAAGGTTGAGATATGGCCTTTGAGAGACCTGAGGAGCCTGTAGGTTATAGGATCGTATAGATTCATTGAGCCGCTTTATTTTCAATTCGTGGTATTCCCGCTCCGTCGACATGTACTGCGGATCTCGCAAGCAAGGGAGGTCTTCCAGAATTTCGGAAGTCCCAGACGAAGCTGTATTGGCATCATCAACTGATCCAGCCGGTTGTACACGAGCCTGTAATAACTTATTATGCTTGGATTCTGCAGCAGCATAGCTGCGTGCCCGTCTAATTTGCTCCTCTAACGTTCCACCCTGGCTTCGGATCATTAGTACAGCATGGTTTCTCCAGTTCTCTCTTAGCTGGTTTCGAAATTGCTTGACTTCTGACTGCATCGAATGTTGTTTTTGTATCCATTCAGGCGTAGTCTCTTGTTTTTGTAAGATTCGATTCATCACGAATTCAGTGGTATCGATGTATGGGCTATCAGCGGTGGGATCCCGTTTGGTATTTTTCCCTTTACCACGAGGGATATTATTGAACTGGCCGCGCGCCATTGCATCCTCTATCCGTTCGTTTGCCAAAGAGCTGAGACCCTGAATAGTTACGGGGAAAGAATGTACAGCGGGACCGAAACGATCTTGTAGTTCCTTGCGGAACGATTCTCGTTCTTCTTTAGAGATACTTGAATCCTGCTTTAATGTGTATTCCGTTGTCCGCTCGCGGGCAGCCGCTAACCTCTCGCCAGATGACACGCTCCGTTTAGGCTTGGGAGCCGTGGGTACCGGCCCTCCCGGCTGTGGAGGCCGAAAGGGTACACGCATAGGTTTGCTCGCATCGGTCAGCATGCGAAGTGTAGCATCATGGATGCTTTCGTTGCCTGTCCACGGAGGAGCACCGGCTATATCCCGCGTTCCTTTCCCTGCACTTTGCTACATGAAATCCAATTAGCTTCAGAGCAAGCATTCCAGGAAGACAAGAGAATAAACTGCTTACCGGCAGGTTCGCATAGGAAATTGCAGCTGCATTTTCGTTTTTGAAAGCAGTCTCGGCGATTCTTTCTTGGAGTCTTTGCTTCAGCTCCTCTGAGAACCCGGTCTCTTGCTGGATGTTCTTCCGCGTGGAACTGCCACCCTGCGTTATGGCTTCTTCGGTCATCTCGGCCAGTCTCCTCGACATGGCACCATCGCTATCACTTTCAAGCTCCTTATTCGCTCCATCCTGCGGGTGTGGCTTTTGGTCATAGAGCCTTTGGTGGTATGAGAACGGCCGCGCAGTGGGAGACCGTAGCAATGAGGCCGAAGTACCCCAACCAGGCAGGGAGCTCTGTATTTTCCGTCCAGCGACCCTATAGCAGTTCATCTCTCCTCAAGACAATCCATCACTAACAACCGAACCTGATCTACTTCGTTTCTCGTTCAAGCTATCATTGTCTTCCAGAGTCTCCAGCGTCTCTCATAAGCTTAGTAATCAATATATATGCTTAGCTAAAAATAAAAGTTCTTGGCATCAAAGAGACAGTTGAAGAAAAGAACGAAAAAGCGATTTCGATGCAATTCGACCACTCTTGACAAAAGAACCAGGCAAAGCAGCCCGCAGATCGAGCAGACCGTGAGTGCAATAGGCACGTTTATCGGGAGATTCCCGTCCTATATCTTCCTTTCACGCACATCGTCACCATGCCTCCGAAGTCAGCGGCAACTGCAGGGACAATCCGACTCCAGTCCCTCCCACGATTGAAGATCAAGAGTCCCATGAAATATGACCAGAACCCATGCCTTGCTGCTATGACTGCTGTTCTCAGTAAGTGCCTTCCATTGATCAATTGGTGGTTCAAGAAGTACCTGGGGTTGTGGAAATGCAAGAACAGTAGCTAACATCAGTTTCATCATTTTAGACTGCTGGGGAGCCACGGGATATAGTGTCCAAGGATGCTTAGCACTGGAACAGCAATTACGATTATGCACAGACTCACATGTATGTTTTTTTCCCGGCCTGATAATATGGAAAGAGATAAACCGTGTTCTCTATCAAATTGAAACTGGTTGCTAACCATTCCGCTTCTTCTACACAGCCTACGAAAGTCAAAAGAAAGAATACTGTCAACTACCATCTTGCTCGAATGTTCCGCATGATCTCACCCCGAAGGAAGGAGAAATAAACTGTTTCCCTCGTTTGTTGCATTGGTTATTTTGCTCGCATTGCGCAATCCGCTCTTTGGTACATACGCATTACCGGAGACACCAGGCCAGCCCTTCCACCTATGGATAGGGTTGACAGATGTACGATTGACCGGATGAAAGTTTCTTGGGAGGTACAAAACCAACCTTTGCGTTGGTATGGAGTTTGGGGCTTAACAATGGAAATGTGTTAGTATTTTTTCCCCCTTCCAAGAAACGATGTATTTATTACCGCTGTATAATAGACCTATATGGAAGCTTTTTATCATGGATACCGGATTTGTCTTCTTGGAGTGATTATTAGCGCTTACGATGTAACCAAATTGAGGGTGAAAGACACTAGATCT